GTTAATCTCCTTGAGTAACAGGATTATTAAGTAGTCATTGAACTGATTTGAAACTTCTATCCTGAATTTGTTATTTCCTCTCAAAGATGCCTTACCACTTGTTCCATCTAAGAATTTATATAGAACAATACATTTAGATTTATCGAAATGAGGTGATAACTTTTCCTTCTGATACATACACACACACACACACACACACACATATATATATATATATATATATATATATATATATATATATATATATATATATATATATATATATTACGTACTTGGTTAGCAACATTGTTTTTATATACGTTTCATTGAATGCGACAATCAAGAAAAAACTTTTTTATTCACTTTTTCAAATGTTCTTACAGTTTTCCTTTTTGGATGATTACGAGTGTGTAGAAATTGTCCGTAGTGATTATTGACCCAATTGTTTCGGGCTAATTTCATTAGTCAGTTTCAAAGGCTTTGTTGTTAGTATTAGTATGTTTTCCTGTGAAAGACTAGTAATTTTAAGCGGTACTAGGTTAGATTTGGTAAGTACATGTTGGAGGTATCTTTAAAAGACAACCTACAGTTAGCGACTGTTATCAAATCGAATAAGATTGAGACTTGGCTTAAACTTTTGTATGTAAAGAGGTTCATCTTAAGTCGTCTTTACAATTAGATTTTCCTTATAATGACAGTGTTATCTACGAGTATTTTTCTAATGGAGGCGTGTAGTTGTGTATGGTAGTTATTCAACTATAAATAATGTAAACTTTTCATCTCAGAAATTCATACAGAAATGTTTTCGTCAACATCCCTACTGTTTTTATTTCACACTGAATCCAGCAGTTTTATTAATTCTAAGATATCCCGAATATATTTTCTCTTCTGATCTATATATTTAATGATAGACGATACATTTTCTATTGAATTAATATCTGGAAAGAGTGGAAGCCAGTTCATTAATTAGTTGCATTTGAAACCTTTTTGACAAGATACGCAAAAATCAGCCTTGCCGAATATGAAAGTGCATTGACTTGCATAATTATACCCCTCAGCTTAAATCTATTTAGTTGTTACTAATACCACAAAAATATCTCATTAGGAGGAATGAGGAAAGGATAGTAGATGAAAGGGTTTCAAGTCAACAGAAAATGGCGATTGACATTGCACTTAGATTTTTGAAGATTGTAGTTATCAGGGAAGCAAGTAAACACAAGTGAGTTCCACTGGCGGGAAGTCCGAGAAAAGAAACTGTTGGAGTAGAAGTGGCGGTTTCATTTAATTATTTCAGCAGTAAAAGGGTGGGACCTAGGTGCCAATCTAGTAGCACGCTTAAAATCATGGAGTCGGGTCCCCAGTGAAAAAAGCTTGTCAGAGTAGTTGCCATGAAAATATTTGTAGAAAAAACAAAGGGAAGCCACATCACGTCTGTGAGAAAGTGACTGAAGTCGAGATACCATTCAGGATCGACTTCATTGCAGATCCTTCTTTGGATTTTGTCAAGAATCTCAAGATGAATAGCAGGGGTACAGTTTTCAATGCACGAACGAATGGTAGATTTGTAAATGTTCAAGATTGACTCTGACAAAAAAACCTGGCACGACATAATGAACCAACGTTCCTTGCAGTTATTGATTCAATGTGTTTGTTCCACTTCAAGTCAGTTGAAAATGTGAGGCCAAGAAGGCGCAGTGAGATGCTCCCCTGGAGTCGAGCATCAGCCAAGTTGATAGCGGACAGAGAAGTTTGTTTGCTGGTTAAACCAGAGCAGTTTAGTTTTGGAGGCATTAAAATTTACAAGCCATTTCCTGCCCCACTTAACCACTGATTGGAGGTTCTTTTCAAGAGCAGCGGCCAGGTTAACTTTGTCAGCTCTAACAGATTTTCTATTGAGACAGGAATGAATGGTAGTGTCATCTGCATAAATGCCTACTTGAGGACTGATGACATCAGGAAGATCATTGGTGAAGATCAGAAACAGCATAGAAACCAGTATAGAGCTTTGGGGGACAACCGCGTTCGTGTGAAAGGATTTGAAAACGAGCCCGTTCAGGGAAGCATTCGTTTCACGATTTGATAGGAATGATTGGATTAAATCAATCGTCCTGTAATACCGTAACCCTGAAGTTTAAGTAAAAGACCAGCATGCCAAACCCTATCAAATGCTTTTTAGATAACTGGAGCCACAGCATGGGCTTCGCTGTTATTGTCAAGAGCTTGATATACATATTCAGTGATGGCCATAAGCACACCAGTGCTAGACCGGGCAAAACGAAATTCATATTGTTTGTCAGAGAGTAGGTTGTGAGAAGAAAGATGCTTAGCCACTTCAGCATTAATTAAAGCCTCAAATACTTTGGCCAAAAGCTGTAGGAGATTAATAGGACGATAGCTAAAGGAGCAGAAGGTTCTCGAGAGTTCTTAAAAACTGGGACTACAGGGGAGGACTTCGAACAAGATGGATAGCAGGCAGCAGCGAGGCAATAGTTGTTGGTGTTTGGAAAGAACTGGGGCCAGCACATTTCTTTAGCATTCCACCTTATCTGTAATAAACGTCAGAACTTTGAACTAATTGAATAGGGGAGGGATTGAGGATATGCTGTTGTTCAGAACACTCTTGCAGAGCCACTAATAATTTCTGGAACCGAAATTGCGAGATGCTATACGTTGTTTCATTCTATCAGCAAGCAGTAACTTCACTTCATTAAGGACACGCTTGCACTCATCACGAGCATAGAAAAAGAGACGTCTGTTGCAATCAGACGTGTCGCTCTGGTGCAGACGGAAGAAGTGATTCCTGTGGGCTATAGCGGCTGAGCCAGCGGGTAAGAAACACGGAAAGTAAAATCGGTATTCGACAAGTTGTTACCAAGTTGTCTATCTAATCTATCTATCTATCTATCTATCTATCTATCTATATATATATATATATATATATATATATATATATATATATATATATATATATAAGTAAACATTGAATTTAACACTAGAGGCGATAGACTGTTTCATGCAGACGGCGATATATATATATATATATATATATATATATATATATATATAAGTAAACATTGAATAATACATTATAGATATATATATATATATATATATATATATATATATATATATATATATATATATATATATATATATATGTGTGTGTGCGCACATTTAATAGAAATCTTTTACGTTAATAAACGGAAGAATTTTTTCATAATAGCCCTGAAAAATTACTAGTAAATATTTCAAAACAAATATTCATTGTAGACTTTTTTTCTGTCAAAGCTCAAAGAAAATACTGTTTTATTAAATTTGGTAAGCATCAAGACTGTACAAAAACATTTTTGGAGTTTTATGGAATTATTTCTGTAAGTTTCCAAGAAAAGTGTTCAAGCTATTCTAATTTGATATTGCAGAAATCTTTTACTGGAATAACATCTCCAGAAAGCTTTTCTTTATAAAACTATCAAAAATATTCTTCATAAATGCCCAAATTTAAGCGTTATCTCGAAAAGATTAAAAATTTCCACAAAGTTTTAAATAAATAACCTATTCATTATAAAATTAATTTATTAATGAATAAATATTGAACATTTTAGTTGAATCGGATAATTTTTTGGTAAAACTTTTAAGAACCAGGTGTAGCTTTTTACCTTTGTTTAGGAAAAAATCATGTACTTTGACGATAAAGAGAACTGATTTAAATCATTTATTCAAATCAGTTAATTTTGCACACACATTGAAAAGAGGTATTTATTAGATTATGTTTACGAACATTTCTTTATTAAATGAAGAAAAGAATGACTTGACCACACAAAAAAATAAGTAGCAAAACATTCAAAGACTTTTTTTTTATTGAAACCTTTCATAGTTCCTTCAATAATCTGCATCTGAAAAAAAAAACAAAAGAATTATAATGTATCCAAAATTAAGAATCTTTTCAATACATAATGAAGACTGACATCTACGAAAATGTTGAATACAAAGATCAATAGAAATCATTATTCTATTTTGTGTTTTTTTTTTCTTACATATAGACGTTAAAATTTACACTTTCCCCCACCTGTCTTTGTTGACTTTTTAATTGTTAATCTTTTATTCACTAAAGCAGATTTTCCTAATGAGAAAGTGCTTAAAAATTCATCAGTTAGCAAGTACAACTGAGAATGTTTTTAATTTTATATTTTAGCTTTTGAATCATTATTGCAATTTTTCTTGCAAAAAATTTTTTTTCGATTGTATATTTAAACTATAAACAAATCCATAATTTAAAAATTTAATTACAACCTTGCCAAAAACCTCCGTCATAAAAATAATGACACAATGTTCGTTATTTTAATTTTCATTTCATGTGATTGTGAATCAGCCACATCGACTCCTCATGAATGATTTCAGATAACTACCTTCATACTACTCTATATTTAATACAAATTATTTTAATTTGCGAATTAATTTCAAGTTCTTCTTGCATCATGGACTCAGAATAAATTGTAGATAAATATAACATGAATACGCTTAGACGGTTTTCATTCGACAAAAATTACAAGATGAGACATGATACACCACTGTGCAAAATTTACTGAGTAAATATTATATACACTCTTTATGGTATTTTTCGCGACTGGAGTGATGAATAGTGGTTGTTAGTTAAATCAAAAATATTTTAATTAAATTAAGATACACGATTCAGAAATTGATGTGTAATTAATGCTAAAGTCAATAGCTATTAAAATAAATTATTTTGTCTCAATGTAAAATTTTAAGAGTTTGGTCTTCTATAGTTAAAGTCACCAATGGTTGATTTTATTGAAAATGTGCAAGGCCCCTCAAATAGAAAAGAGCCTGAATTTCTTCTAACAAATTGTGAGATCACGATAAATTTCTTTTAACAAAAAGGGATCACGATTCAAAAAAATATAGCAAAACCTGCACTAAAGACTACTGTCAATCGCTTATAATCTGTACGGATTGTATTACGTCACAGAAATATTAGAGGGATATTGTGAAAATAAAATGACTTACCAACCAATTATCTCTGACTTTTCGCACTTAGGACTTTTACCAAACTCTGATGGTGGGAACTGGTTGGCACAATCAAAAACCTTTAATGGAGAAAATGTCAGGGAAGATTCAAGAGGATAACTTTTTAAAAGAAATCTTGATTGCAGTGGATAATACATCACTTATAGATATTTGCTTGGTTTTGTGTAATAATCGAATTTAAATGATTGCTTTTGGAAGTCTTGAAGTGAATTAATAAAGTTCTTTGTGATTCTGCATCGACAATCTATGAGATCTGATGAAGAATTGTCTTCTTTAAGATCAAGAAGATTCATTCGCTTGAAGACATTTTAATAATTGATCCGAGAAAATTATATGCAGATGATACTTTAGTCTAGTGTTTCTCAACCTTTTCTTCGAGGTCCATTTTTGGCGTCAAAATAATTTCAGGCCCACATAAACACAAATAGAAATTCCATGTAAAAGTAAATACATTTTATTTAAATAATTTCTGAATTATTTGCCTTTAAAAATAAGGTAAAGCAGTGTATGTTTTCATAATTTTAAACCAGTGAGAAAAATAGATAACACTAGGCCCATTTAAAAATTTTCTTAGACCCACGTTGAGAATCAATACACTATACATAATATTCATATGAGAGTTAGAACTAATAAGGCAATTTAAGAACATGACTCGAGTTCTGAGGTTAATATTTTGTTTTTAAAGCATCCCGTGGTGTTGCACAAAAGGATTAAGGATTATTTATTCGACTCAATGAGATGGAATCGAAAAATTGTAGATAAGAGAATAGATAATAAGATAAAAAGTAAAACAGTACTTTAATTTTTAGGCACAGCGCAATATAGCTGTGGTTATTCACCATTCTTTTTCTTTTATGTGCTGTGTACCATGAGGACGTAGGAGATCATGGCTCTCCACAATATTCTGTCTTTTGTAGCTCTTAATACATTTTTTTTCTCTCCAAAATCTTGATGTCATCCATTTACTCAAGTTCGCTAGATAGTTTATATGTTGCTTCCCTCTGTCCCTCTTGCCTTCAATCCGTCCTGCGAGTATCAAATTTTCCAAACTGTCTTTCCTCATTGCCCTGAAGATTTCAAGTGTCTCTTCCTGATATCGTAGTTGCTTCATTCTGTAGAACCACATTTCTGTTGCTTGAAGTCTCTTCTTCATTTGTGAGGAGATTGTCCAACATTCACTGCCATATAGGAGTAACAGTTCCGTACTCTTTTTTGTTTGTTTGTAAGGAATTTTTTTTCTGTTTGTTAATACGTTGTTTAGCTTCTTTTTTTTTCTTTATTTTTTAAGCATTTCACCCCTAGCAAGGCGCAAGGGGTTATAAAGGATTTGGAGCGAAAGCAGGTAGGAATGATAGAGGAAAGGATGAGGAGAAGGATAGTGGATAGATCAAGGCAACTGGAGATGTCGATTGATATTACATTTGAATAGTTGGAGATTATTTTGGAAGATATATTTCGCTATTCCTATTCACCTTGGGATTTCAGTGTCGCACATACGTCCTCTGTTAAAACACTTCCTAGATATTTAAATTATTGTACTTGTTTGATTTTGTTATCTCCAATTTATAGGTTACATGTTGGGCTGATCTTTTTACTAACAACTATGTATTATGTCTTCTTGCAATTGATGTTTAGTCCATTCATCTCGCTTCTAATGAATCTCAGAATCGCCTCTCTGTATAGGTGAATAAGTCCGGTGAGAAGACACATCCTTGTCTTACACCTCTTTGTAAATGGAAATCTTTCACGAATATCCATTTAATTGTCATTAAAAAGATAACACCTACAGATGCTTCTGGTATTTAATAAACATAGGTTAGTCTGACAGAATGCCAAGTAAGAAAATTAATGAAGGCGGCACCAATATTCCAAGTGGAGATAGCTGACCTACTATTCTATATAGATATTCATCAATATAGAGGCGCTCAGACATTGACCACTGCGACCCACAGTTAGGATCAAACTAGAGAATTGGTTAGCGTGTATATCTTGATAACTATCGCGTCATATCCGACATTCAAAAAATAGGTTTTTATTTAGTTTATGCGGCATAAAGTTTCAAACTATAAATAAGTTGCCACCAGAAGCAAGGATACTTTATTCAAAGTTCTTATAAAAAATGAGAATAGTTAATGCAAGGATAAATAGTGTCTGAAATTCTACGATGAAGTATTTATACAACTCTACCAATTATTTGGATTAATATCTTCATGTTTTCTGTTTTTATTTTAACGTTTCAGCTAATATCTACTTCAGCATGCCTCGTCTGTATGTTTTTTTAAGATTTTCAATAGGAAAAAAGCAGCAAATAGATCAGAATATCAAAAGTTTTATTGCTTTATCTACTTTTCAAGTAGATAAAGCTTATTATGTTTTTGTTTTTTTTTAATGTAAAAAATGCGGAACAGAGTATCAAAAGTGATATTGCTTTATCTACCTATCAAGTATTTGATACACTTTCCCGTAATTTTTTTTTTTTTTTTACATTAAAAATCATAGAGACGAGGATAGCTGAAAAACATAGCAAAAACAAACAAACAAAAAAGAGAAAATAAAAAAGGAAATTGTAATACTTGGCACACTCCTTTGAGACAACGGTACTTCACGTTCTTGTCATGCGCCGGGAATTTGTAATCTGAATTAGGCTTAAAACAGGGACTGCCATCAGGCATTAATCCCATTCTTTGTCGATGGTGTCCTTTTTTGGGTTGACACATAACTTCACAACCCATCAAAGTATCTACAAGTGAAAAATAAAAAAAGGAAAAGAGACTTATTTGTCATTTGAGCATTTTTACACACACACACACAAGCATCGGTTGAGGGTAAATGCAATTTTTGCAAGAGCTAGTGACTGAAAACTCCAAGACCACACACTGTGTAGTTGATTACTATGAAAGTTGTCTTAGCAACAGTGAATTACTTCCGTTATATAATATATATATATATGTGTGTGTGTGTGTGTGTGTGTGTGTGTAAAGAGAGAGAACCTGCAAATGTTTTTAGTTATAAAGTGGATTTGTTTTAGTGCATAGATTATATTTTATTCTTCATAATATTGCTACATATGTTTCCGGTCTCGTGACCTTCTTCAAGCAAATTAAAGGAATCAATTTTTAAAGGAATACAATTTCCTTACGTCCTTTTAATATTTCATTGTTTTCTTGTTCATTTTCTGTATTTTTAGTAAGTTTTGATCTCATTTTTTCGACTTTTGGCAAAAGCGACTTTCTGCCTAAAATGTCATCGCCACCACCAAGACCAAACCTAATGATTTTATTACCATTTAGGCGGAAAGTCAAAAAATGAGATATATATTACTTCAAATGTTTTTTTTTTTTTATATATAGTAGACTCTGGCATTTGAAATAGACGCCCCATTTTTATTTGAAACGATGTGCATTGCGACTATCGATCTGCGCTTTCGAATAATCTTAAGGAAAATATATTCCCCAGCAGGGCTCGAATATGCGTCCCCCTTTCTAGGAGAAGCCACTGTTTGAGACAGTGTGCTTTATCGCTCGACCACGAAATCACATGCTGTTCACTCAGATTATTTTCCTCGAAAGTCCATATCTTTTCAGTTTCGTATCCGAAACGTAAACAAAGCAATTTTTAAAGAATTAACGGATTTATTTTTAATCCGGCATTTTTATTACTTCAAACGTTATTATAATGGACACACGTGTTTGAAATAGACGTCCCAACATTATTTTAAACAGTGTGTATTACGTTTACGTCCAGCACGTTCGAAAACAGTTTTCCAAATTATGTTATATATTTGTCACACACACACACACACACACACACACACACACACACACACACACACACACAAATGTATGTATGTAATGTGTGTGTGTGTGTTTTCAATAAAATTATAACAAAACATTCACGAAAATCCTACATCGGTTCACCAAATTCTTGTAAATATACCTTTGATATTGTAGACATGTCCTTTTTGCAGAAATGTTGCCGAGGAAAGAACTCCTGTTTTCACGAAATTTCTGCAGACTTCTGTAGCGTGATTGTTTGCTAATTGGACAGCATTGTTTGAGTCAGTGGCACAAGGCTGAAAGATGGAACGAGAAGAGAAAAAATGATCCCAGATAATTTGCAATAATTATTTTATCACGTTCGACCGAGTTTTAACTTTCTAATATATATATATATATATATATATATATATATATATATATATATATATATATATATATATATATATATATATACGCATGTTAGCAAATCTAAAACAGCTTATTTTCTTTTTAAAATCATCAAAATGTTATAAAAACGATCTACGTCCTCTCTCTCATAGTAGAAAACATCGTCCCTAACCCAAGCCAATCACACGCCTTAAAATAATTTATACTACCATAGATCCTACTTAGTAGTTGTCGTAGCCTCGTTATTATTTATGAAGCCACTGACTGGTATTCAATTCCAGGTAAAAGCTATGACTAAATGTTTCTTTTCAATACTTTAACTATTATATTGTAACACAATCTTCCTGCTTTTCATTTGATGTTATGTCGAAGTTAGATAGTTGTTAAATATCTGTTTCGAGCTGACTTATTAAAAAGACGATGATTTCGTTAACCACGGTTAATGTAATGAGTTCTACCTTCGCTAGATTCACTTGTGCATGATTTAATTGGGTTTAACAAATACAAAGCGTACCATATATGAACAAAGGGAAAGACTTCTTTTTTTTTCATGAATAAATTTAGATTCCCTTTAATGAGCTGAAATTTGAACAACAAAATGCGATCATTCTCAAAACGCACCCAGAACTGGGGCAAGGAATGGCTTGTTAAAACTGCTCTCTATTAATCATCTGTTTACCGTTAGTCAGAATGGCTGATGCTAACCTCCCTATTGAATAAATTGATAGGTCTACTGATAGGAAACTTGCTTCACTGTCTCGTGCTAGACATTTTTCTCTCTAGAATCTATCTTACATATTTATATGTCTACCATTCGTCCATACTTTGAGTATTGCTGCCACATATGATCTGGTGCGCCTGCTATATGTTTAAAGATTCTAGATAAAATCCAAACTAGAATCAGCAATGTTACTGGTGCTGGCCTGGCATCTGGACTCCAGTCACTTTCCCACCGCCGTAAGGTAGCTTTCTTGTGCTTTTTCTATAAATACTTTCATGGTAAGTGTTCTGATGACCTGTCCACTATTTTTGTTCAATTTTTTGTATATAAATTGCATTCATTGTAAATATTCATTCGAGTTTCATTTTTAAATGTTTTTATTTTATTCCCCCTCCCTGTCCCAGACAAATTGTACATATGGGAACTATATAGAGACTTTGAGGTATTATGGTGGCTGTAGTAAGAATAGTAAGTAAGGAATACAGTGGTATGTTTGAGTCAGTAATCGTGGCTAGATAAGTTTAAAAGAAGACATACTGACAACCAGTCTTCTTCTATCCACCCCTTTTGGCCTTGTGCCACATTTTTTGCATTAAAGCAAAATAAATATTACTTTGCTCTATAAGAAGTTTCATGAATTTAAGCGCAGTACTAGATTGTCAACAAGGCTCAACACTTTACAGTCCTTTTGGCTAGATATAACCGCAAGTTCTATACTAACAGTTTCTTCACTCGCACTTCTCACTCGTGGAACTCTCTTTCGGCTTCTTTCTTTCCAGCTAAATTTGATCTTCAAAAATGTAAATGCAATGTCAATCGTTATTTTCTTGATTTCTCTTTTATTGTTTTCGCTCCTTAATATTCTTTTTTCTTTTTTATTCATTTACACCCAGTAATTACATGGGATGAAATGATTGAATGGGATGAAATGATTGAACTCATTTCGTGAACTTAGCTTGCAAATTTTCTTTTTTTTATACTGAAAATAATATTTTGCGTTTTTTTTTAATAAAAAGCATCAATTAACCAAGTTGAATGGGGAAATGAATTACCGTAGAAAATAATTTCTAAATTTCAAAGGGTTCAAAAAGTTAACAAACTTAGGATAAATTAAAGCGTTCGGCTAGTTAAGAGAATAGCCAAATTTACTAAATCAATTCACAATTTTATTGAAAGAGCAGAAAATTTTACTTTTGTTGTAGATTAAAGGAAAAGAAATTACCGATAACTGAATAAGTGAAGCGATAATTTACTCAAAAGCCAAATAATTGTTTCATGACATTGTAGCTAAAGCTTTCAGTAGATGTGATACTCTAGTGCCGGGTTTTCTTTCTTCAGTTTATTTCTACATTTATCCATTGTTCTTTATGGATAAATGTATTTACTATTTAATTAGTGTATTTTACATTTTTATATGTTTTATATAGTGTTTAGGTGGGGCTTAGAACGGATAACTCCTATTTATATATATTTCAATTATTCGCCTAACGAACAATATGGTTAACGAACACTGCTCTAGAATTGATTATGATCCTATATAGAAACCTCACATTATCTATGTGCTTGATCTTGATTTGAAAGTAAAAGTATTTTCTTATACTTTTTTTATTGTTGTGAAATCAACTTTTCTGAATTACTTCAGCACAAGGCTGTCCCAATTTGCCTTAGCGTTAAGCAACTCAACCAATCGATCATTTCTGGTGAACATTAAATATTTCAACCAAGTTCAAATCAATCATTTTGTTGGTGACCCTGAACACTGATTTTGGAAACTTGGTGACCCTCAGAGAAGAAGTAATTTGTTCCCAAACTGAGTTTTATCAAAGGCCGGAAATGTCTGGAAAAAAGTAATGAATGAAAAGCTATGACAGGTTTTCAGTGTATCAAAAGATCGTAAATTCAGCTTGTATATAAAAGATCATAAAATAAGTAATATTTTTGTAATAAAATAAGAAATATTTTAATTTATTTAATATATAGAGATTTCAATCTATTTTTTTGTTCATCACTGGGAAAAAGACGCTCTACCGCCTTTTAGTTATACAGAAATACCTTTCGTAGAAAAAAATCAATATTGTTTGATACAAAGCTATAATTTCTCATTATTATTAATAGTCAGAAATTTAAAAAAAATCAATTTTCTCCCTAAAAGTATTTCTCTATTTTTCATAGTATACCTTTGTTGGGATTTTATTCAGTCACTTAGTTAAGTGTCATATAATTGATACACGCTCAGACGGTCATGTCTCTTTTGATTCATAGCTGATTAGGCAGAAGATTTTCACGCAATAGGCTGCCGTTTCTTTCTACAGTAGACTGGATGCCAACTATAGGACACAGTCTGTCATGCTATTTAATCCATATCCTGGGGGAGAAGAAATGGATTCATACATTTTCCAAGGGCGTAAGTGAATGTAACGAACCCGACTGGAATTCGAACTCGACTCTCCGATTTCCTTTTTCACCACACTGCATATGCCATGGAAATTTACTAGAAACAAATGAAATCGATTTCTCTTTTTTCTTTTATGTTACTAATTACTATTAGTACTGTACATTATCAGTGTTGCTAAAAATAAACCTTGTTGCATTTGAATATTGACAATAACATTTCATAGTTATCTGTTTCATTTCTTTCATCTTAGCTGTAGAATTTATATGAGATTACTTGTCATATATATATATATATATATATATATATATATATATATATATATATATATATGTCTTACCAACCCACCATTAGAGTACTAAGAATTTGTTCAATTGTCATTATAAGCAGCTTCGATCTATGTCTTGACGACATAATCGTTATAGACAGGTACTTCAGCTAGTATCTTAAAATCCCAAACTACGCAAGATACTGCAATTAACATTTTTTTAGTTCTTTACTACTGAACTTCTGTATTCTCAGTCCATATTCTCATGTGATTTAAACCCTTCTTCTTCTTTTTTTTTTTTTTTTTTTTTTGTTTTTTCTTTAGTCTTGCTAACCAACAACTACGAGTGTTATACGAACCTTATAACATATCTATAACCACCAAAGATGTTTCGGAAATAGTTTATTTATAAAACTTCCCCCAGTGTTTAGGGATGAACTCCAGGCGAAAGAAAGAATAATTCAGGTCATATTAAAAGTTTGAATCTCCAGTCCCAAAATTTGGTATATGATCATAAAAACATTTTTTATATTGATGGAGAAATAGAAAAATTGTAGTGAAATATGCTTAATGTTCCTGTTATTGGAAATATTTTTTGTCGACAAATGACTCAGAAGGGACGACATAGGATTGTGAAAGTTAACGAAGATGAAGCTTAACAACAGTCCCGAAAAACGACAGAAAAGACACTAAAGCAAGTGTCTTCATTATAAAGAAATTATAATAATGTAAATATAAAATTAATCTTGTAAATAAATACTCTAGTAACTAAATATTGTGTAACATTTTAGTTTTAAGTATAAAATAATAACGGTGTCAAGCGAAAAACCGTCCTTTTGATACATCTTTTTTGGCAGGCCCGAAGATAGAACTTTACAAACAATATTGTGTTAATAATTAAAAGAATTCAAAGAGAAAAAAAAAAAACTTCCATTAAGCTAATAACGTTGTAACTGATAGTGAGATTTTAAATTCCTGGTTTTGATAATCTAAGAAGTAATAAACAATGTAAAACTACATTTATCACATATCCTGTGGACAAACTAATAAATAATTATCACGTGTAACAAGTTTTAAAGTTAAAATGAACATAATTTTGTGAAGATTTGAAAAGTTTTAACTTTGATGACTGTTTTTTTTTTGTTTTTTTTTTGTTTTTTTCGTACAATTTTTTTCCTGTAATCACATATGGTAATGGCAATAGTAATATTAACCGTTACCCTGCAAGGAAACATTTGGCATTCATCGACCGAGCAACCAGTACTACTCTCGGTTGAAATTTATAAAAACTTTCTCTTAAAACAATTTATCAGGAATATGAGTTTCTCATGTCCAGTCGCTGTTATCGCTCTTTCCAGTATTGATGGAGATTTTCTTCCTAACTTTTTATTTGACCTCGTGTGGAATGTCAATATTTTGATTATGTCATGATTTCCTCTCCAAGTTAGATGTGCTATTCCTTTTAGTTGTTGTTTCTGTCGATAGTCTTCAAGTGATGTGGTTTCTGTTATTTAGTATAATTCTT